CCGCCCGCCGCCCGGCGTGCATCGGCAGCGGCTCGTCCTCCTGCTCAGACTCCTCCCCGTCGTCAAGAGCAAACTCGCCCAGCTCCCCACTCGCGACCGACCGTGCCTCGTCGTCTGCCGCCCACGCGCCAATGTCGATGCTGTACCCGCCAGCGGGCGGAAAGCTGACGATCCAGACGCCCCCCAGCAGGATGGATATCCCCAGCAGCACGAGCACGAGCTGCACATTTGACAGAAGAGAGAACTGGTCAAAGTACACCAGGCCGTTCAGGATCGACGAAAGGTTGTAGAAACAAAAGGCCACTGGTCGCACCCGTCAACTTCCGGCGCAGGGGACACATGACAGCGGGCCACTCACAGGGACACACGATCGTCGGATCCGCGAGGACCAGGCTCTTGTGCATGTACCACAGCTGCAGCAGCGCACAGACTCCCAAACTCAGCAGGAGCACCCATGCCTGCCAACGCCAAAACTGGTTGTCTCCGCCAATCGTGAGCACGAGGAGTTCAACTCCGCTCTTGGCGAACAGAAGACACATCCCGGAGATGATCCCAGAGAACGAGGCGTACGAGGCGGCCAGAAACAGGGGTGTGCGAGTGAACTTGGTCGTGAATTCAATGGCGCTAGACAGGACAGACGCAGAGGGAGAACGCGACTTGGAACGAGAGTGTGCGCGCGATTGGGATTTGCGGTCGAGGAGAGGCGTCCGCTCGCTCGGCTGGTCGGCTGTCGATGCCGCAGTAGTCGTGGTGAGAATGGACGGCTGGGAGATGGGTGCTAAAAGAGGCGACAGGGGTGGGGAGACATCGGGTAACGCTACACGGCGGGTATACGAGTATTCGACTATATGGGACTGTCCGTACGGTCAATGAGCAGCGCAGACACGGAGCGGGTGGCACAACTCACGATGGCCAGGCATACGACGGTGACCAAGCCTAGCAGGGAAAAGTATACAATAAAGACAGGGCGGTTGAAGAGCATGAGGAGGTCCTCAAGCGAGTGCGTGGGTTCCGGGACGATGCCAAAGATGGCGATGAGGACGGCGCCGCCGGCGATGAGGAGCGTGCCGATGAGCATCCATATGGAGAACGCGTCGCCGAGGAGGATGCGGGCGAAAAAGGCGTTCCACAGGAGCGAGACGGCGCCGAGCGGCGCGAGGATGACGACGGGCAGCGAGGCGATCTGGAAGACGGATCCGAAGAGGTTGGACGAGATGAAGATTCCTGGACACGACGCACACCATCAGCACAGCGCCGGGCACAAGCCACCCCCCGCAGTCGACGCACCAAAGCCCAGGAGCCAGAGCCTGTGCGTCGGACGTCAGCGTGCCACCAGAACGAGGCGGCTGCACACGACTCACGGTCTGCGGTGTTCGACTCTCCTCTCCTCCTCGGGCAGCGCCTGGTTCAGGACATGGCTCTTGCGCTGGACGGTCAGCCCCAGAGACTGCACGAACGAGGCGAGCAGGCCGACGGTGATGCCCACAGGAATAGAAATATGGCTGTCGCCGTCGAGGACGTGGGCGGCCATGGAACGCATGAACCCTGCGCGACGCCCGTCCGCCGAATTCCTTCAATTGCCTTTCGCGGGGGCCCGCACGTGACCAGCGCGGCCTACACTTTGCTCAGTGCTCCCTCGCCTCGCCTGGCTCGCGTCCCTGCGGATGTCGACCCCCATACGCCAGCTCATTGCGTCGCCATATGGCCCGTACAAGGACGAGGATGTCCTCACAGAGTTCTGCAAGAGCGTTCCCTCCAACGTCCTCAAGCTGCACGGCGTGATGCTCGAATGCGGCAACCGTCCCATCGGGTGCGTTTCGACGAGCCGTGCCACTTTCTGCGCTCAATATCCCTACCACTGACCCTGACCCATGCCAGTCCAGGCTTACGCAAAGCGAGGCGGAGGAACCGGGATACGACCGTAAGCGCGTCAGCCAGTACGGGGTCTACTTCCGTGGAGTCCTCGAGATCCACTCGACAAAGTGGCTCACCGCAAAAGCCATCGCCAGGCTCAACAAGGACATCCACAAACGCAACGTTGCCTACTGCAGGGAAACGGAGTCGCGGGTGCCCTCGGCGTCGCCCACGCTGCAGCAAATATACGCCGTCAGGGGCATGAGAATCAAAGTCATCATACAGTGCGCGAAACACTTCACCGTCGGGTATCTGACTTGTACGCCCCGCTTTCACGTCCACCTGAATCACCCGCACATACCCACTCTCTCGCGCAGCCAAAGAGGTTCCGAACGGATTGCGGATACATGCTAAAGACCGGTGCGTGGACCTCTAATTCCTACTGCCGTAGCCTTGGCTAATGTCGTGTAGATCCCGTTACTTTGAGATCGTTTCCATGGACGAGGCTACTTATGCTGCCAGCCGGAAGGCGAGTGGTGCACACCAAACGTGGCTACAGGGCCACTGACCCCTCTCGTTTGTCCCCGCAGTATCTTGGCCAGTACCGTGCGCTGCGGATCATGCACAATCTAGTCAGGCTGCATGCCCAGACCGTCGATGTCCACGGCGAGAGCAACCGCGCGCTCGTCGACCGCACACCAGAGTGGTTCGTAGAGCTCTATCAGACGTTCATGGCAAAGACGCCGGCCGCACGCAAGTCCCGCTGCATGCACGACTCGTCCGCCGACTCTGACATCGAGCCGCAGACGGAAGGGCAGCTCAGGGCGGGGAAAGAGCACACGCTGCGGTACGTCTCACGGGCGGAGATATATTCCCTCCTCGCGCAGCACGCAGGCTGGATTTTGTACGACCAGCGGAAGCGGCGGCAAGGACGGCTCATCGATGTAGATGTTTGGGAGGACTGGGTCCGCAGATCGCGCCGGGCACGACAAGAAGCACGCGGTCTCGACGTCTGGTGGAGTAGAGATATCGTAGACCCGTCCACTGATGACGGCGGCTCCAGCAGCGACGACGGCCCTCCTCCTGGGGCACCACGACGTAGGAAGCCCCAACCAAAGGTGAGATATCTCGCCCGCCTCGTCTGCCCTCGCCCCCCGACCTTGTGCGTCTACAGCCTGAGGCGTCCAAACGCCAACCGCGACATGCTGCTCCTCTATTTCGGCGCTCGTCGGACGAGGACCAGCGGATGGACGAGGACGCGCAGGAGGCAGCCTTCATGCGCACATACGACCCCGACTTCTCGCCGCCCTCGTCCCCCCCGGCCTCCCCGTCCAGCTCCGACGAACTGCTGCGCCCTCATACGCCGCCCAATCCCGACATCATGCGGCGCATCCCAGCCGCGTTCCGCCACCCGCCGACCATCCGGGCGGACTTCACGTGGAGCTGCCCCGTCGCCGAATGCCCCTACGCGATCAACATGCTGGGGCTCACCGACGACAACTGCAAGACGATACCCCGGGAGTGTGTGCACCAGCTGAGACGGGGAGGGTGGCGGCTCCGCGACCCGTGGGTGCAACATTGCTTCTTCCGGATGGTGTCCCTGCACTACGAGGCGCACTTGGACGACTGGGACATCGTCATAAGGAAGGAGGGCAAGAGGGTGAGTTGTGTCTTCCTCAGCGTTGCCGGGCGTCTCATCGTGTTGGGCTCGCTAGACGGTCATCGCGTGGAAGAACCCCCGCCTCCACGATCCCTGGCCTCCGGGGCGTCCCTTCCCCCCGGCGGATGCTAAGCATCCTGGCCTCGCTCTCAAACAAGAGGACGATTAGCGCTGCGAGGTTTGGGCGAGCCTATGTGTCCCAGTCAGGGTTGGTCGCTCTCATGCGTTATGATACCCAAGGAAGCTGTTTTGTTATCTCATGTTCCGGTGAATCCAAGGCAGGGGGAAGGTCAGCTTGTAGTCAACCCACCGAGTGTATACCATGACACGTTGTGCTCGCGTCCTCCGAGTCTGATCCACGGTTCGTAAAGGAGTGTGACCTCGGTCTGTCTGCTGACCGGGACTGGCGCGTCCTTCTTCTTTCTTGGGTAACCTGATACATCTTCCCGTAGGGCGGCGGCGCACCACACATGTCGTACTTGCCAGGCGCTGTCTTTGGTGCACAATGGCGATGTCCATCCCTGGCTGTAGCAGGGGGGCGCTCTCGCCTGCCGTGCGTTGCGGCCCTTGCTCGCGCTCGCTCGAGGGAGGAGCACTATGAGTGGTGTTGGGTATTTGTGACCCCATCCCATTCATCTCGGTCGTTCTTGGCCTGTTCGTCAGCGTGCCTCACGCGCCGCCGTGCCCGTTTCTCCGCCTTCAGTCTGGAAGGTTCAGCCTCCAGCTGCGCCGTTCGCCCGCCCAGCTGTTCCGTCTGCAGCTTGAGCGTGGAAATGATATCGTCCATGTCTTCCACTCCCTTCCAGAGATCGGCGCTCTCAGACCATAGCACAGATAGAGACTAGAAAGGAATCGCTAGAAGCGTGCGCCGTGATTGAGCCCGCCGATAAGCTCGCCTCCCTCCGCTCCTTCGGGAGGCTCGCAGTCCGACACTTCGTTCTGCCTCTCGACCTCTGCTTTCTTCCCTTCTGCATCCTCATACACGCACATGAAGGTGCTCAGCGAGATCTCGTCCTCAAAATGAATGTAGGACGTCGTGTTTATCTTCAGGTCCAAGTTCTCTTAATCCGTCTCCTAGCTCGCTGCATCTGCGGCTCGGCCTCGAGAGAGCGAATATGCGAGAAAGGAAAGTCATTTTACAAGTTTACGAGGGAAGAGTGAGATTGCTATGATACATTTTGAAAGTGCCGGTGGTGGTTCCAATAATCTACAGGTCTGCTTGTGTACCGTACGCGTTGATATTCTACACTATGCTAATCCGATCCCATGCTCGCCAAATGCTACCATACATTGTCCAGCCTTAGATGCTCAGTCCATCTCTTCAATCTCAATGTCGTCGATATCGTCGATGTCGTCATCCACATCCATACCGTCTGCGCTGGCTTCATGGTTGGGAACGATCAACAGGCGGTTGTGAGGGCCGTCGAAACGAATCTGGATGGTCTCGCCCTCCCGGATGCGATCAGAGAGAATCATCATCGACAACGGGTTGAGGAGCTCGCTCTGGATCGCGCGGTTGAGCGGCCGAGCACCATATATCGGCGAATACCCAATGGACATGAGGTACTGCTTCGCGTCGCCGTCAATGTCGAGCACCATCTTCTTGTCGGCCAGACGCTCCTGGACTTCCTTAAGTCGAACGTCCACGATCTTCAGCACGTTCTTTTGTGACAGCGTCCGCTTAAGAAATAGTTAGCATACAGATTATCGAGATAACGGGCATGAGAAACAACTCACGAATATGACGATCTCGTCGATACGGTTAATGAACTCGGGCGGGAAGTGGCCCCGGATAGCACCCATGACAAGCTCTTTAGTCTCCGACTTGACAGGACCATCGCCCATGTCGTTGAGATATGCGGCCCCAAGGTTGCTCGTCATGATGATGACCGTATTCCTGAAATCGACCACACGCCCTTGACCGTCAGTGAGACGGCCATCATCGAGAACTTGCAAGAAGAGCGTCACGAATTCCCGAGATGCCTTTTCGATCTCATCGATGAGGACGATGGAGTATGGCTTCCGACGGATGTACTCGGTAAGCTGGCCACCCTGGTCGTGACCGACGTAGCCCGGAGGTGCACCAATAAGACGTGCGATGGAGTGCTTCTCAGAGTACTCTGAGCCATCAACGCGGATCATGGCATCCGGAGAGTCGAACAGGAGCGTCGCGAGCTGCACACGACATGAGGGTCAGTGATATGATTCAGTGTATGGCAATATGATCTGTACTGACCGTTTTGCTCAACAGCGTCTTACCCGTACCCGAGGGGCCCGCCATCAAGAAACTGGCAATGGGTCGTTGAGCATTGCCTAGACCGCTCCTGCTCAACCTGATCGCATTGGCGACAGCTTTGACAGCTTCTGGCTGACCGACCACCTGTTCGCTCAAGATCTTTTCCATCCTCAGTAGCTTTTCTTTCTCGGTGCTCATCAAGCGGGTGACGGGGATGTTCGTCCATCTTGCAACGATCTCTGCAATCTGCTCAGGTGTAACGGAGTCGGTACCGCCACCCATCTCAGCATCTTCTTCTGCCTTTTTCGTCTCCAGTTGAGCGAGCCGAGACTGAAGGTCTGGCAAAGCATAATAACGCAGGTCTGACGCGGTGGCGAGGTCGTATCGGCGTTCTGCCTCGTCTGCTTTCGCCTTCAGCTCGTCGATCTTTCTGCGTACATTCTGTATCTCGTCACCGCGTGCCTTTTCGGTCTCGTACGCGGCTTGAAGAGGCCGAAGCTGATCCTCGACATCTGCTATCGCCTTGCGCGCAACCTCAAGACGCTCTTTTGATGCTTGATCTTTTTCTCGCTCGAGGGCGTGGATCTCAACTTCAAGCTCGAGTTTGCGACGCTGAAGCTTGTCAATAGCCTCTGGTGCTGTTTCGCGCGTTACACGAACGCTAATGGCAATCAGTAACTTTGTGGCATAGAAATAAAAATAAAATGCATACCTTGCACATGCTTCGTCGACGAGGTCAATCGCTGCGTCAGGCAACCTTCTCGACGTCAAATACCGATGCGCTAGCGTTGCAGCCTGGATGAGGGCGCCATCCATAATGCGCACACCGTGATGCACTTCGTACTTCTCCCTAATACCCCGCAGGATGCTTATGGTCTCCGGTACACTGGGCTCATTCACAAGCACCTGCGCGAATCGTCGCTCGAGGGCAGCGTCAGTCTCGATGTACTTGCGATACTCAGCAAGTGTGGTTGCTCCTATGCAACGGAGCTTCCCACGAGCGAGTAAAGGCTTGAACAAGTTTGCGGCGTCCATGCCGCCGCCTTCCGCACCACGACCAGCCATGATGAGGTGCAACTCATCGATAAAGAGGATGACGCCAGTACCCTCCTCGGATGCCTTCTCGACCTCGTTAAGAACGGACTTGACACGCTCCTCGTACTCCCCCTTGTACTTTGCGCCGGCCATGAGGGCACCCATGTCCAAGGAGTAAAGACGTCCGAGCAGGGAAGCAGGAACATCGCGATTGACGATACGCTGAGCCAGACCTTCCGCTATGGCAGATTTTCCGACGCCTGGTTCGCCCAGCAAAATCGGATTGTTCTTCGTCCTGCACATATTTCAGCATCTCATCGAGTCGCGTTTATACGCGAACTCACCTTCTGCAGAGGATACGAATGGCTCGGCGAATCTCATTGTCGCGACCTATCACAGGGTCGAGTTTTCCCTCTTCGGCGAGAGCTGTGAGATCCACAGCGTACTTCTGCAATGCATCGAAACCCTGTTCAGCGTTTTTACTCTCCACTCTCCGGTTGCCACGAAGTTGGTCGATGGCGGTTTTGAGGGTTGCCTCAGTAAGACCAGCTTCCTTGAGAACGGGTGCGAGAGACGTGTCCTTGATCAGGGCAGCAAGAATGTGATCTTGTGCAATGTACGAATCGTGCATTGTTTTTCGTAGCGATTCTGCGTCACGAAGGACCTTGGAAGCATTAGAGCTGAGGGAAATGTCATCCGGTGGCGGGGACTGGGTGGGTATGCGGACAATTAGCCTCTGGAGTCCGCGCTTGACAAGAGCCTGTATATGAGGTGTGAGGTTACTGGAGGGTAAGCACAACGCGCGATAAAAAGGACTCACTGGATCACCTCCTGCTCGTTGTATCACGGAGTTGAAAAGCGAATTGCTGTGCTGCTGGCTGAAGCCGCCAGGAACAGCCTGGTCCGTGCCGCCTTCATTCAAGAGGACGAACGCGATATGAGCGGGATGGACTAAAAAGAGATGGTGAGCCATGTTGACTGAAGGCTTCTATGACACACATACCCTGAGCATTAGCATAGTCCTTTGCTAGCTGAATCGCAGCAGCAAGGGACTCCTGAGTCTTGTCCGTGAAATTCAGGCCGGAAGCCATGATCGTGAGGGATTTTAAGAGAGCAAGAATGAATAGACAACAAGGATATCTAAAGTGGCGAGGAGAGGGCTGGCGGGCGGAGTTATATGTTCAGATAAAGGAGGGCTATAGCGTTCTGGAACAGTGTGCATGGTCGGCCAAGAGTCGAGTGCGTTCTCCATCCGCCCCGAAAGTTCTGCCTCTGCCAGTGTCACGCTCACTATGATGTCACATTTCGGTAACACTCGGCGCGGACTTCAAACGTTGTTCTCACGGTCCGCCCGTCGGTGGCGGGCGGTTGTACGTCGTCGTCGCCGTCGTATAACACGTTCACTATGCTTGCTCGTAGCTTTGTCCCGCGGCTTGCCCGCCCTCTCGCTCGACTCGCCTCATCCTCATCCTCGTCCGGTGCCCCTGTCCCTGCCCATGAAACCCCGTCAGAAGGTGCTGCTGCGTCCCAGGCTCCCAACTACCCGACAACTTGGTCGACCAGCCAGCGACCACGTCCCCATGGCCGCTCTGGACCTCGCTTTGAGCAGACGATCATGGACCTTCAGCCAAACCCTCTCAGTGCAATGGAGATGATCAACAGTGAACCCATTCGTGTTGTTCACGGCCGCAAGGCAGTTTGCGATGGTGGTACGTCAAGTATTTTTTGCAATGACTTGGTCCTAAGATGCCATGGACGTCTATCCTAGGAGGAGGCCCTCTTGGTCATCCCAAGATTTTTATCAATCTGGTATGTACCTTTGCATATCCCCGTGAACGGCGCTTGAACATATCCCCTCCATAGGACAAGCCAGGACCTCGGCCTTGCGGGTAAGCTGCATCGTTTTTTTGAATCGGTCGGTCCTCATGATCCCTTCCATCGATTTCTCACCGGGATCAGATACTGGTACGTTTGGTTTTGTCTGTTTCTGCGGTTGAGATTGATTGAGTATCATGGCTAGCGGCTTGCGATTTGAGCAAGCACCACATCATGGTCATGAACATTGATCCTGTAGCCACAATCAAGTTGATTGTCTCTGGACAGGTAATAGAATCAGTAGTTGGCGGCGGAATACTACTACTACTTGTCAACCAGTGTGTCGTCGTAACACGTATTTCATCTCGGATACAACATTCCGACTAAGCAAGCTCGGATCCCCTATCCACCTCAATTCGATGATTGATTGAGACTACTGATCGCGTTTCCATCATACCTTTCACGTTCAGCTTTAGCCTTTCGGAATTTGTCATTCTAGCTGGACTTGGCACGGTTCTGTCATTGCGACCTGTGCGAGGCTATGGGTGACTGCTCATTCCCCGATAAATGTTCACGACTGATACCGCCCTTTGATTGGCTTCGGAAAGACCTGTTCAAAGTGCAGATGGTCATCGCATGTCTTGCATGCAGCTGAACCCCTTGAGTGCCGCCGCCAAACCCTGCGCCACGTATACAATTCCCTGACGGGGATGTTCTTACGCCGGCCGATTTTTGTTCATCTGCCGCGCCGATAAGTATACTCGATCGCGTAGATCATGATCGTGTTTGGGTGATGAGCACTCGGTGGTCAATTTCAGCTAAGTAAAATTAAATTCATGAATCCCGTCCGTACTGACGACCAGGCTCTGCGCATGCGCCAGCTGTGAGCTTTGATTCATGCCGCAGAGACCATACTTGTTATCATGTGTTATTATCACTGAATCGCCCCTCATGGGTGTACCACGACAGTTCAAGCATTGTACGCGCGTTCCACGATAGGTATGATCGAAGTCGATTAGCGGTACCGCCCGGTGGACCGTATCAACACCTATCCGACCAAGTGAAACTTCAAATCTTCAGCGAACTTGCTCGGAAGTTGGAAAGTACTGAGTCTAACGTCACCGGCACCGCGCATGGTGCCGCGTGATACGTCCGGGGGCCATTTTGGTCGGCTCAAAAACAAATTTCAGCCGAGGACAACCTAATTCAAATTCAATCAAATACCGTGTCTTCATCTTTTTTTTCGCGAGACTTCCCAGCTTCACCATGATCCGGGTCACTTTGTTGATATGTGTCTAATTTTTTGAATTTGCGGAGCTCTGGCCACCACAGCTCCTCAGATGGACTGGGTCCCGGCCTCGGACGTCGGTACAACTTGGTGACGTGAAGAAGGCATCACCAAAAGCAGCTCAATCCGCACAGCTAGCCCCAGATGTGAATAATCCTTTTTTTGTTGCACCACCGACGGTGGATAAAAATACATCAGAATCTATGATAAAAACTTGCAGGTGTCTGAACACGGACATATGCAGGAATAGGGACGAACGATAAAGTACGGCAAGGGCGAGTGGCGGGTTTGAACGGAGGCCGGTCGGAAATGGTACATGCATGAAGACGAACATGAATGAACGCGACCGCCTGGGCCCGCCTGTGAGCGAATGCAAGGAATGATCCAGATGCAGAATGAGAGGGACCGTGGATGAGTGCCGACAGCGACGAGGATGACACAAAAATGGCAGCGAGCGGAAAGATGGTGACTATGCGCATTATCAACACTAGAATGAGATGGCAGCAAGAACAAGGATGTGTGGTCAGTGTTAAATAGCAATCAAAAAGAGTGTGCAGGTCCTGCAAGCGAGCCGGTGACAATAAACAGATGCAAAATACGACTAATGTTAGCTCTC